TGCATGGTACACGACGCGTGGCTGCATATTCCTCCAGGTTTTGGCAGGACAAACATAAACCTAAAAGCATGGCCTCCTTTATGGTATCATACGTTCTTTTGATGTTTGCATTGCATGATTTATGTATGTGGTCAACTCGAGGACAAGTGCATTGGTACGTATCACATGGTTGATTATGTCGCTAGCATATGTCATTGGATGTGGTTTATGTCGCTGGCCTAATCATTGAGAGTGACATATGTCGTCAGGTACGACCTATGATATTGGACTATGTCGCTGGAGGCGGTCAATGTCTATGGGCCGTAGCAAGAAACTTAAAGGTTACTACTGTAAGTCGGCCAATGGTGCTTAGTCGGCAAGTCAGCATGTAGTGTGGGACATGGTAGCCTACACGACTATTCCGTTCTATATTAATATCATTGCTCAAACCATATTGCAGTTGGATATTTGGTTTACCTGATTCTTTTTATATTTTGTATATTTCTCAGAGATCTAGTGGGCAAACACAAGTTAAAATTTTTACCAATAAGTGGAAACTTTTTATCTTTAATAATGTTCCCTATATTATCTACCTTGTTATCTTAAATTGAATTTCAAATATTGAAATTAAAGTTATAAGTTGCATTACCACGAGATTTTCACTATGCAATTATTTTAGATCATCTGATTTTTACTAAAGAAAAATTAAAATTGTGCACAAATCTAGGGGAACAATTTGAACAGGATAACATAAACCTTTCTCAAAATTAACATAGTAAAATCATCTTGCATTTCTTTATCCCATTAAATCTATGAGAAATAAAAAAATACAAAAAGACTTAGGTAGAGCGGATATCCAAGTGAAACGTGGTTTGAGGAATGCCATTAATGTAGAACGTAATGGTTGTGTAGGCTATGATGTCCCACACTATATGATGACTTGCCCACTGGGTACCATACACTGACCACCAGCAGTAACCTTGAAGTGCTTATGTCTTCAGGTGCGACCTATGATGTTGGACTATATCACTAGAGGCGGTCAATGCCTATGGCCCGTAGCAAGGCACTGATAGGTTACTGTTGTAAGTCAGCCAATGGTGCGCAGTGGGCAAGTCAGCATGTAGTGTGGGACATGGTAGCCTACACGGCCTATGATGTTCTACATTAATAGCATTTCCCAAACCATATTGCAATCGAATATTTGGTTTACCTGATTCTTTTTGTATTTTGTATATTTCTCAGAGATGCATGATGATTTTACTATGTCAATATTGAGAAAAATATATGTTATCCTATTCAATTTGTTCCCCTAAATTTGTGCACAATTTTAATTCTTCTTTAGTAACAATCAGATGATCTAAAAGGATTGCATGATAAAAATCTCGTGGTAATGCAACTTATAACTTTAATTTCAATATTTGAAATTCAATTTAAGATAACAAGATTGATATTTTAGTGAACATTATTAAAGATAAAAAGTTTCAACTTGTGTTTGTTGACTCGCTTGCTCCATTTAACTACTTTAATTTATTGCCTCAACCACTAGGGATCGATAAGAAGCATTCAGTAGAGATTATACAAGTTTAATAGAGATATTCCAAAGCTCTTGGGTGGCCGTATGGTGCACTAGTGAATGGTACACGACGTGTGGCTGCATATTCCTCTAGGTTTTGGCAGGGCAAACGTAAACCTAAAAGCATGGCCTCGTTTATGGTATCATACATTCTTTTGATGTTTGTATGGCATGATTTATGTATGTGGTCAACTCGAGGACAGGTGCATTAGTACGTGTCACACGGTTGATTATGTCGTTAGCATATGTCATTGGACGTGGTCTATGCCGTTGGCCTAATCGTTGAGCATGGTCCTATGTCGCTGGCCTAATCGTTGAGCATGGTCCTATGTCGTTGTCCTACATCTTCAGGTGTGACCTATGATATTGTACTATGTCGCTGGAGGCGGTCAATGTCTATGGCCCGTAGCAAATCACTTAAAGGTTACTGCTGCAAGTCGGTCAATGGTGCGCAGTGGGCAAGTCAGCATGTAGTGTGGGACATGGTAGCCTACACGACTAATTTCGAGACTCTTTTCCTTTCTTTCTTTCTATCTGTCAATTCTAGACTTGCTTATACTTACAATTAAGTACCATTTGACAAGGTACTGATATTTTGCTTTATCATGGTAGATGGGATCATTTGGTTGTATTTGGAACTAATATGTTTGTATAGAAAGTCAAAGTTTTCTGCTTTATATGGTAGTGTGGAGATGCACCTTAAGTGTTACTTACAAAGATATGCAAAAGAATGAAATAAGCACAAAGTGAACTTGGCTTTGATCCATTTTTATTAGTAAGGAGTAATTTAATTATTGAATAAGATGTCAGGCATGTATTTGCAATATATACCTTTGATATTGTTATAAGAAACTATATTTATTTATATAAAGATTTTAAGTAGTCTAGTTCAAAATTTTAAAATATTTTTACTGCTAAAGAGTAGAAAGTCATTCTTTCTTCTTTTCTTTGACAAAATTTTTGTACCTTTTATTTTTTCTACAAACTTTAATATTGTCTAAAATAAAATAAAATCATGATATTACTATTAAAATTTTTTGGAGCCTTAAAATTTGAAGGTCCTAAATAAAGGCTTTACTTCCTTGTCCCCTGAGCCACCCGTCCACACCTGACTTTTTCAATCAAATTTATAGTTCAATTAAAATAAGACAACATTACAAAAATATTAAATAAATATAATGAATGTGTCATTTAATTAAATATGAATAAAGTTGTTGAACAACACATTCAACGGGCAATGATCTATAAATAATTATTGATAGTTAATCAGGGACTGCTGACGACTCTATTGAAACTTGGACTCACCCTCTTCAAAACATCCAAAAAGATGAGAGACAATGTTTATTCTACTACGTGACGTTTGGGTCCCATTTATTAATTTTTTACTTTTTTCTTCTTATTTTTCTCTCTTTATGTGCAGAAATCTTAAGACATTTGATCTTGTACCAAGAAACGTTGCAACATAACAAACTACTCTATCCCTTCTCTTCAAATTGTGTCTTTGACCAATATTTTACCATATATTTGTTTATCAGAATAAAATTATAACTTGTACTTCTCGTATAATTTTTGAATATCTTAATTGTAATTTTAAAATATTAAACTGAACTAATTATATTTAATTTTAAAGATTAGTTAAATTAACTATAAATTAGCATATAAAGTGAAACATAGGGAATCTAATTTCTCGACCAAGATTCTGCCTGTAGCTCCGCTCATAAGTTAAAGCAAAGGAACTTCCACGTTATATGAGTAGAATTATGAAATTTAGTTTTACTTTTTGGTTCATAAGAGTTAAATTTTATTAGTTTTGTATGCGAAAGAATAACAAGGAAAGTTACAATTACCAGAGAAGTTAAACTGTAAACCTTCACAAGACACTAAAAGATCTCGACATGTTATGTGAGAAGGTGGTTATGAACTGAAAAAGTAAGGCTCTATGTTAGGATCGAAATAATCTGGTGTCATGTGGAAGCTAATAAAACAAACCTTGAACGATGATAAATTAGATAACAAAAGAGAAATATACCAAAAAATACACAAACATTTAACATGGTTTGGTCAACTAACCTATGTTCATATATAGAGATAAGCAATCTACTATATAAAAGAGAGTATAATATATCGAGAGAACAACCTCACAAAGTGACACATACAAGTGAAAACATTACACTTGTCTCACAAATTCTCCCCCATAAACAAGATCCTCGAATCCCTTAGGAACTACATTGTGGATGCTACTAAATGGGAAGGAAGGATCCTCATTTATAGAAGTCAAAAATCTTTTCCTCCAAGAAAATGGACTAGCCAAATATAGAAGAATTACATTTCTTTTTGTAAAAAGTAAATCAATTATGGTAAATATATTGTCAATCCTTCAAGGAATAGAAAAATTAAATATGGTAAGAAAATCATGACGAACACCTAACACTTCAATAGTCAGGATTTTACAAAATCATCAAAGGGTGAATTGAACGAGCTATATTGCGCCTATGTAGCCATATTTTTAAGTTTACAGTCGCATACCCTTTTTTTTTGGCAATAGTGTTTACATCCGGTATGCAATATTATACACCTATTATAATGTTGGTAATATTGTATACAAAAATTGGATTTCACCTCCTACGAACTTCAAATCACGAAAAACATCACCAAATAGCTCAAATTTTGAAAGAATAGCTTCAAATTCTAACCCCAACTTCAAAATGATATCCACGACAAACTCCATTCATCAATTTGTCAAAAATTTCAACAAATCGAAAAATTCATTTATGCGTTTTCAAACTTTTAAAAACCTCAACAATAAAATTTTTAATTTTTCACTTTAATTCACCCAATAATTTTTTAAATCTTGATGACAAAATATGAATAGCACTTTCATATCAGTTTCTAACACAAATCTTCTTAAAACCCTGTTAATAGTGAAAAGACATTTCAAATGATATACAAAATAGGCTAAATTGGATTTAAAAAGGGAAAGAATATAGGCTAAAATTAATTGAGGAAGTGCCCCAGCTGTACTACCCTGTAATTATTTCATATTTAAATCAATGTTTTCCAAGGTTCATATAATTATAATCCAGGATACCTTGTTATATAATAATGAATTTACTAAAATGGGACATAATACTGAAACATTAGTGGAAAATCCCCTTTCTCAAATCTATTTCAAAAGTAAATCCCAAAACAATCCATCATGTTCATAGGAAGAGAAATTGATGATTATTCAGATAGGTTAGCTTTTAATTAATAATCTTTTTGGCCAATTAGCTTCTTGAAATCTAAAAAATACTCCCTTAAAATCCATTTTATTGGAGATTTAACTCAAATCATTCCAAACACTTTCTATTCAAATCAAAGAAGTATGCCAAAAAAGGAGTTACCTAATCAAAAAAAATTCATCCATAACATCTTCTATAGTTTAGTAAGAAAAATAAAAAAGGCCATATATTTAAACCAATTTTCCATAGTTAAATATATCAAGTGTGACAAATTCTCATTTCACAAGTATTATAATTTTGTGCATTTATTACATGCCTGCAGAGGAGGAAATCATTAATCTTTTGTTACAAAATATAGCACATGAGCTTTTTATGGATACAACAACTCAATTCATAGCAAACTTTTGGGTCCAATTACGAGCCATTGATTCATATTTCTTCCGATCAGATTTGTACATATGAGCAATCTCTGGAACCAATGGATCATCTGGATTTGGATCTGTTAGTAGTGAACATATGGAAAGCAAAACCTGCATGTAGAAAAAAAGGTTGATTCACCAAATTGGTACACAAAATACATATTACGAAATGCAAGTATAATAGATGTACAATTCATGTATAGTATATGTAAAACCTTATATAATCAATATATACTCTATATATTCTGATTAGGAAACTAAACAGTGAATATGACTGGCTATTTATGTAAGGACCTCATAGAATTATAGGAGGGAAATTTTGGCCTTGGGCCTAAAGAGTTTCCCAAAAAATTTGTAAAAATAGTATGGGCTAGCCAGTTTTCGGATTGATAATTGAAAAATAACTAGCGTTTGCAAAGTCATTAAAAAATAGCCATTATTTTGTTGAAATACGGAAAGTTCCAGTATAATATGCTGGATTATTACGGAGCTCCTACGTACAACATATTATGTTGGAATTCCAACACATTATGAAATTCCAGCACATTATACTGCAATCTCATATGTAAACAATTCAAACTCCATTTTTCTGGATTTTTAAGGATGTTTTTGTTTAGATTTTATCTTTACATGAAAAAATGGCTAAATTTTGATTACTTTTGAAACTGTGACTATTTTTCAATTACCAGATAAATATGTCTATTTTTTATTTTTTCCCCAAAAATTTGCATTTTTGCAATCTTTTATTTAATCAGTTTTTATTAGCTTAAATAGTTTTGAATTTTAATCTAATGGTTGTCATGTATAAAGTCTCTTCTTAGAATTGTCAAGTCTGTTATTGACAAACATTCTTTAGCTTGACAGACGCCTAAAGCATTATAAATACTTGTTTATACCTCCAAAATAATACACACAATCGTTGTTTTCCTTTTCTTCGAAATAATTAATTTGTGTTCGTGTAACAATTTGAGAAGTTTTATTGTGTGCCTCATACAACTGACATTAGTTGTGTGAGACTCTTTTTTTCTCTCATAAATTTGTGGACCTCAATCTTACACTCCTGGGTCCACAAAAATTTGAGTCCACAAAACTGTAAGACAAAAAAAAAATATCTCATACAATTAGTGTCAGTTGTATAAAACACAAAATAAAATTTTCCGCGGAGCGTCATAATGAGGGTACAAATTTCTAAAGAACAATGATCACACTATCAAAACCTCGATTTTCTATTCTCGCAATTTTATTCCCAACAGTTTCCATGTCAAAGTCCCCAAACACGTTAAACTTGTAAAATAAACTATAATTTCTAGTATATTGAAAAAAAATTGTTCTTTTTAGTTGTCGAAGAAATAATTAATTTTGCACCTTGTCAGAAAAATAATGAATCAGTAGATTATTAGTGCTCCCTCTGTCCTAAAAAGAACGATACTTTTCGATTTCTAGGGTCAAACTTCTTAACTTTGTCCATAATTAATTTATATATAGAATCTTTAAGGATTTTAAAATAAAATTTATATATTTGAAAATTACATAAAAAAAATACTATAAGTAACAATAATTAATAATTAATATTTAAATACATATGAAAAATTAAAGTCATGATCAAACAACAATTCGTTTGACTCTTTAAATTTCAAAAAATATCGTCCTTTTTTGGAGTAGTAAATAGGGAGAGGAAAGTAAGAGGTATATAAAGAAGCACCTTGGATATGGTGAGGGCAGGACTCCATTGATCCTTAAGAATGTCCAAACAAATATTTCCATTATTATTTATATTTGGATGGAAAACTTTGGTCTTGAAAGCCACCTGCCAAAATGAATAATATTTATAATAATTATTAAATAATATTATAGATTAAAATTTACTGAGAGTGTCAGTTTAAATAATTTAAAAGGCATACCTTGGGAGGTTTGAAAGGGTAATCAGGAGGAAAATGGATGGCCACTTGGAAAACACCACCTGCATAAGGGCTGTCATTTGGACCAATAATGGTTGCTTGCCAATGGAACATATCCTGTGCCACTGGACCTGAAAATAAACAACTATTAATATTTAAAAAAACAAAAATTAGCGACAGTCAAATTCTACGGCTAAATAGAAAAATTCTTCACTAGGTCTATTTAGCAACAGATTATCACAAAAGTTTATTAGATACGGACAATTTAGCAATAAATTAGCGACGAGTTCATAGCTAATTTCAGTTCTTTTGTAGTATATTAAAACTGGTATTTTTTTTTTTACAAGATTAAAAGATCATAATAAATGTTGGATCTAAAATAAACGTATTAACATGATTAAGACTTAAACCCGAATTAATTGATATCATTTACATGTATAGATTTGTTTTCTTCCAATTACCATACTTTTTCGTTAGGTTTGTATGAATTTCAAGAAATTATAGGTCTTTCAAGACAATTTCCTCACATGTAAATTTACGCAACTCGTCTCCCCTTTTTAACACATTCACTTACCATATGGTTTCACGCCTAATTAGATCATTATATCTGGATATCACTCATTTTATTCTCTGTATGTTACTTGCATCTTCTGCCTAACAAGCTCATTTTTAACGTTGGGGCATGGGAAGGGCCTTCCTAACATAGATATCCCTTATATAGGGAATTGGTTGATCGGAAAGCTTAGACAGGAATAAGACATTTCATACAAATTTTTTTGATTCGCTGGCCGGTAAATCAGAGGAAAAAATAGTATTTCTATACCTGCACTACATGAAGTAGGAGGGTCTCTTTGCAACTCCCTTAGTTCCTTGTGAATTCTTCTGGATGCCATTAATCGTGCCCAATTCTTGGATTGAATTAAAAAGGCAAAAAATATTCCCAATATATTAAGAAGATTTTACAAATTATGAAGAGAATAGATCAACTTGATAAAAAAAATTCAGTTTTGCAAATATATATATACAAGGGCCAAGGAGAAGAGAATCATTTCTTTTTCAGTAATTATTCAGTGGTCACTCATTGGTATAGATTCTATGGCAGAAAGCATTTGTAAAAGAAATATGCACTTCAAAAATGGACGATAGATGATCTTTCAATCTTGTGAAAAACACAGGAAAAAAAAAGAAGATTATATTCTCCAGCTTAGCTTTTCTCAACTTCTCATATAAAGATTTTCAATTTGAAAAGAATAAAACTATGCAATAATTTCTAGTTCTTTCATTCTGTGTGATCGAATTTCATTTTATTTGTAAAGATTCTTAATGTGTATGTTCATTGTATTTCCCACTACGAGTGCTCATTAGAATGATATTCTCATCCTAAAATTCATGAATTAGGGTGTGTTTTACGAAGGAAAATGTTTTCCTTTGGAAAAACTTTTTCTAGAAAATAAGTGGTTTTATCAATTATTTTTCATGTACGTTTGGTTGGTGAGTGGAAAACTTTTTCCGAAAAATATTTTCTAGTATTTGATTTGTGAGTAAAAAATATTTTTTAAAAAAAATATATAAAAACACTATGGGATGGGGCGGGAAGAGGCAGAGTT